GGCGGGGGCTGCTTCGTTAAAAGTCACTTCCCGTTGACAGCAGGTGGCGCTATGACTGTGGGTGAATATCAGCATGTACATGTGTTCAGGGCGGGACTCTCATCCTACATGTACAGTTTGGTGCAGATGTGAGCATGTACACTGAAGTTACAACAACTTCCTGTTTCATGGCGAAGACTTGATCTCTGACGCCACGCCACGGACACACCCATTGACGAAAACTCACAAATAGCACAACTTTTCATCTTCAATGCCTTTAGAAGGCACAGCAGAAATTTGAAGTCGGTCGGACTAAATCCCTAGGAGGAGTTCGTTAAAGTACGAAGTGTGTAAATCATCCAAAATTTGACGTAAAATTCAAAATGGCCGACTTCCTGTTGATTTTAGGGCATCGCTCCAAGAGGCTTTTTTGTGCGTCTGGACAAGATACACGTACCACAGAAAATTCGTGCACGTAGGTGAAACGTGCGGCAGGGGCTGCTTCGTTAAAAGTCACTTCCTGTTGCCAGCAGGTGGCGCTATGACTGTGGGTGAATGTCAGCATGTACATGTGTTCAGGGCGGGACTCTCATCCTACATGTACAGTTTGGTGCAGATGTGAGCATGTACACTGAAGTTACGACAACTTCCGTGTCATGGCGAAGAGTTGATCTTTGACGCCACGCCACGGACACGCCCATTGACGAAAACTTGCAAATAGCACAACTTTTCATCTTCAATGCCTTTAGAAGGCACAGCAGAAATTTGAGGTCGGTCGGACTAAATCCCTAGGAGGAGTTCGTTAAAGTACAAGTGTGTAAATATCCAAAATTTGACGTAAAATTCAAAATGGCCGACTTCCTGTTGATTTTAGGGCATCGCTCCAAGAGGCTTTTTTGTGCGTCTGGACAAGATACACGTACCACAGAAAATTCGTGCACGTAGGTGAAACGTGCGGCGGGGGCTGCTTCGTTAAAAGTCACTTCCCGTTGCCAGCAGGTGGCGCTATGACTGTGGGTGAATATCAGCATGTACATGTGTTCAGGGCGGGACTCTCATCCTACATGTACAGTTTGGTGCAGATGTGAGCATGTACACTGAAGTTACGACAACTTCCGTGTCATGGCGAAGAGCTGATCTTTGACGCCACGCCACGGACACGCCCATTGACGAAAACTTGCAAATAGCACAACTTTTCATCTTCAATGCCTTTAGAAGGCACAGCAGAAATTTGAGGTCGGTCGGACTAAATCCCTAGGAGGAGTTCGTTAAAGTACGAAGTGTGTAAATCATCCAAAATTTGACGTAAAATTCAAAATGGCCGACTTCCTGTTGGGTTTAGGCTATGGCTCCAAGAGACTTTTTTGTGCGTCTGGACAAGATACACGTACCACAGAAAATTCGTGCACGTAGGTGAAACGTGCAGCGGGGGCTGCTTCGTTAAAAGTCACTTCCGTTGCCAGCAGGTGGCGCTATGACTGTGGGTGAATGTCAGCATGTACATGTGTTCAGGGCGGGACTCTCATCCTACATGTACAGTTTGGTGCAGATGTGAGCATGTACACTGAAGTTACGACAACTTCCGTGTCATGGCGAAGAGCTGATCTTTGACGCCACGCCACGGACACGCCCATTGACGAAAACTTGCAAATAGCACAACTTTTCATCTTCAATGCCTTTAGAAGGCACAGCAGAAATTTGAGGTCGGTCGGACTAAATCCCTAGGAGGAGTTCGTTAAAGTACGAAGTGTGTAAATCATCCAAAATTGACGTAAAATTCAAAATGGCCGACTTCCTGTTGGGTTTAGGCTATGGCTCCAAGAGGCTTTTTTGTGCGTCTGGACAAGATACACGTACCACAGAAAATTCGTGCACGTAGGTGAAACGTGCGGCGGGGGCTGCTTCGTTAAAAGTCACTTCCGTTGCCAGCAGGTGGCGCTATGACTGTGGGTGAATATCAGCATGTACATGTGTTCAGGGCGGGACTCTCATCCTACATGTACAGTTTGGTGCAGATGTGAGCATGTACACTGAAGTTACGACAACTTCCGTGTCATGGCGAAGAGCTGATCTTTGACGCCACGCCACGGACACGCCCATTGACGAAAACTTGCAAATAGCACAACTTTTCATCTTCAATGCCTTTAGAAGGCACAGCAGAAATTTGAGGTCGGTCGGACTAAATCCCTAGGAGGAGTTCGTTAAAGTACGAAGTGTGTAAATCATCCAAAATGTGACGTAAAATTCAAAATGGCCGACTTCCTGTTGGGTTTAGGCTATGGCTCCAAGAGACTTTTTTGTGCGTCTGGACAAGATACACGTACCACAGAAAATTCGTGCACGTAGGTGAAACGTGCGGCGGGGGCTGCTTCGTTAAAGTCACTTCCCGTTGACAGCAGGTGGCGCTATGACTGTGGGTGAATATCAGCATGTACATGTGTTCAGGGCGGGACTCTCATCCTACATGTACAGTTTGGTGCAGATGTGAGCATGTACACTGAAGTTACAACAACTTCCTGTTTCATGGCGAATCATCGACGCCACGGACACGCCCATTGACGAAAACTCGCAAATAGCACAACTTTTCATCGTCAATGCCTTTAGAAGGCACAGCACAAATTTGACGTCGATCCGACTAAATCCCTAGGAGGAGTTCGTTAAAGTACGAAGTGTGTAAATCATCCAAAAATGGCCATAAAATTCAAAATGGCCGACTTCCTGTTGACTTTAGGCTATGGGTTCTTGAGGCTTTTTTGTGCGTCTTGATACGATACATGTCCCCAGAAAATTTCGTACATGTAGGTTGAACGTGAACGAGGGGCTAATCTTTTCCAATTTTCTAGGTGGCGCTAGCGAGTCATTTTGCCACGCCCATGTGCGAAACTTGTAGAATACGAAATTTTTCACCGGTTCTGAGATGTTTGCAAATTTTGGTGAGTTTTCGAGTATGTTTAGGCCATGTCATTTGGGCCTACTTTGCAGAAAAAAAAAAAAATATATATATATATAATCCGAGCAAATTCAATAGGGACCTCGCACGGTCGTGCTCGGGCCCTATATATATATATATATATATATATATATATATATATATATATATATATATATATATATATATATATATATATATATATATAATCCGAGCAAATTCAATAGGGACCTCGCACGGTCGTGCTCGGGCCCTAATAATCCGAGCAAATTCAATAGGGACCTCGCACAGTCGTGCTCGGGCCCTAAATATATATATAATCCGAGCAAATTCAATAGGGACCTCACACGGTCGTGCTCGGGCCCTAATTAACAATTCAATAATACTGACAAATTAAACTCAATCAGCAACAGAAAACTACGTCCTTAAAAGAGAAAGCAAGCCAAGATTCAACTGAAAACACAAGAATGAACACTTATTTAGGACACTTTTAACACCCTCCCTCCTCTGAGGGAGTAAACACGAGCACACAGCTCCACACTGCTGTCTGACCCTAACTGGTTCACTGACCCCATAGGTGTCATTTATGCTGGGGACATGTCCCCACCACATTTTGAAATGGCTGATTTTGCGTCCATCACTTTTTTAAAGCATTTGTTAAAAATGTTCTGAAAAATAGTTCGCACCAAGAAATGTTAACTAGCAAATCAAAATGGTCTGAGAAAAGGTTTATTTGAACAATAAGAAAACATGCAATGCAATACATTTTTCCCTCATGTATTAACAGACATTTCCATCATAAATTGGAGCAGAAAATGTCTCCAGAATGCAGGAAATTACAAGTTTAATACTCAAAATCTTTTGGGGAGGACCCCCAGACGGGCACATATATTTCTGCATCAAATATTTAATCGAAATGGTGCTAAAAATCTTCTTGTCTTGTTCTCGTGCATCGTCATGTCTCATGACCCAAATGTATCATCACCCCCCTAATCTGAGCCCTTATGTCACCCCCATTGTTCAACACAAAGTGACGCCCCTGACTCCACTCTGCACCAGCTCCTCCCTAGTAGGCCTACTTATACTCTCCACCGATTAATGAACACTTTTGCAAAGCATTGTCTGCATGCTACATTCTCATTAGGGGCTGAGCACCCCTAAAGGTCTGATCCTAGAATCGCCCCTGCGTTAAACTATAAACGTAGATGGATTCCACCACGGCCAGGCAGGCAGTCTACACAATCTGTGTATGGTTCATTCTTTGATTATTTCCTTTCAAAACCATATCGTAAAAAACAAAAAAACTAGTAATTTTTTGTTTTTCTGTTTTAAAACCAAAACGGAAAAATATTGATTTTGATTTTAAATCTGTCTGATTTATGTAGCTTGTGTGTTACACTTGATAAACCTGCAGCAGATACAATTGGCCAATGGCAGTGACTGATTAAATGTGGGCTAATTAAGATAAGCTTGAACATAAACATAAGTGGATCATCAGACTTCATCCAGCCAGAGGGAACGACCACTGAAGCGCCACAATAAGGAATTTTTTTGCTCCAGTGAGTTTGATCTTGTGATCTTCTGCATATATTGTTTTAATGTGAAAACTAATAAACAAAGTGAAAAGAATGGATTGCCCAGAATAGTTCACATAAATGAGTTATCAAAAAAGGTTTTTTTACTTTGACACACATCTTATTTCATATTTGTCTGATTTGTGGAGTAAGAGCTCAATAAAGAGGACATATTTAGTAGTAATAAGGAACAGTATCTCAATATCTACTGATGGCGTGGCTGGTGGACTGAGCAAAACAGATGTTTTATATAAAAAACATCTGTCTATAATGTGCTTTTAGTCTCCACTCTGCAGTTGATGCATAAAGGAAGAGTAAAGAGCTAATTGGTTGTATTGATTGGTTTGGACCATGCTTGTCTTGCTACAGTATGAGCAGTGCAGGCGGCTCCAGTTTCTCTCAGCTCAGATCAGGTACACAGTGACTGAATGTCTTTCACATCCATAGCAGGTTCCCTGCTTTTTGTTTATTTCTTAAATTGGTCATCCATGCAACCACAACCCTCCATGTGTTCTTACCCATGATGCTGGCCTTGCCCAGGCTGGTGATGGACTCCCCGTAGTGCCGTCGGGCCTGTGGGGGAGATGTGCAGGGGCTGGGGATGCTCTCTGAATCTGAGACAGATGTGGTCTCCTTTGGGAGGTTGAGCAACGTGGGCCGGATCTGATCGTACGGTGTCGGGCTGGTGGTGTTATACCTACACATCACATCCATATCAACCTCAGGGCACTGAACTCCTCATTCTTTCTACAGCTGATTAAACTGGGTACACCATAGCTTCAAACACAGCTAACGGACTGACCTTTAAAATTTTAAGCTAATTGCTTATTGATAATTGTTCAGACAACAAAATGATTTCACAAGTAACAGATGAAAAATTAAAGCTGCAAGCAGCGTTGGGCGGGCCCTCGCACTTGTAGCGCGTCCGCGTGTGAGCCGGCCGAGTTGCATATTCTGGAGCTCTGCCGGTGCGGCTGTGAATTTGTTACGCGGTTATGACGCCGCATGAAGGTGTTATATGTCACTTCCTGTGTCCCCTATGTGGAGCTACATAGCACTTGCCGCTATGAATATAAATCGGTATTGGTGTGTAGATGTCTGCGGGGTGGGAGAGTTATCAAGCACGTAAAGTTTGTTTCAGATGTGAGTATGTACACTGAACAATAATGTACCCAAACAATAAAATAAATTCCTTTTATATTTCCCTGCCTTGTTGTTTATGTGTACATACAGAGGAAGAATGTGAGAACAGCACACATTTTATCGTTATTGTGTGTTAGAGGGTTATGGGAGAAGAGTGGATACTTTTAATACAGCCCACACCCCTAATACTGTGTAACTATAACAAGTAGAGAACAGAAGAAAAAGATGTTCTTTCTTTACAACTGTCTGCATAGCTTATTCATATTGTGTAATGAATGAAAATAAATAGGCCTACTAGGCTCCTCTCCACTTTGACATTTAGGATTAGCTTGTTTGATCCACCTTCATACACATGTGACATAACTGTACAACTTGAGAAAGGTGAGTTGTTTTCTGCTCCAGCTTGCCTAACAGAAAACCGTTTTTGGGATTAAATGGACTTTATTAGCTGCTGCAGTGCAGGATGAACTCAGAACAGACCCATTTCTCACCTTATTATTCTAAATCATGCAACGAAGAAGAAGAAATGCATAATAAATCCTGGGACAAAATCTGTCCACAAATACTGTACAGCATGTAGTCTGATGAACAAGACTTGTGTTATAGCTGACTTGGGCAGTGAAATGTTTAATTTTTTTAATTCATGTGGTCATAGTTGTCCACAACTCAAATCAGAATATAAGAAGAAATGTTTTATACCACCTCAAGAAGGCTTCCTATCAGAAAGGTAGGAAGGTATTTCCAATGAACAACTGCAGTCCTGAAATCTAAGTAAAGTAATTTCCCTGACATTTTTGTGTTACTTTACTTTTAATAGACGCATGTAACAGGTTTTATACTTCCTGTGAGTATAATCCAATCAATCTTATTTTCATACTGTATATCCGTTGTGTAATTTGATAAATTGTGTTGTATGTCGTGCTCGCATCTCAGAGAAGACTCTGACTGCAACATACGTCTATGTATAGAGAGAAACGGACAGAAAAAGTCTCTAACTCTGCCTGTCAGCTCGCTCTGCTCCGTTAAAACTGAATTTACCATACAGAATTGAATACGAGTGCACTCCAGATTTAGCTGCAGCCAGCTGACCGTGTGCTTATCCCTATACCGCAGTTCTGTGTCCATGCATGCAGCAAACTGAAAGCACTGTCTGTCGGAGCATCTACATGAAAAGAGAAGGAATACATTGCTGGTAGTATTGTCTTCAGAGTTGTTAAACACCTCAGTGCACTGAAGGAAGCCATCTGACTGTGTGAGGGGCAAGATCGTTGATGTCTGCAGGCAGAGTAAGAGCTCTCCTGTCTGACTGGTCCACCAATAGCAGAGAAGATGACCCCTTGAGTTATCAAGCACGTAAAGTTTGGTTCAGATGTGAGCATGTACACTGAAGTTACAACAACTTCCTGTGTCATGGCGAAGACTTGATCTCTGACGCCACGCCACGGACACACCCATTGACGAAAACCCGCAAATAGCACAACTTTTCATCTTCAATGCCTTTAGAAGGCACAGCACAAATTTGAAGTCGGTCGGACTAAATCCCTAGGAGGAGTTCGTTAAAGTACGAAGTGTGTAAATCATCCAAAATTTGACGTAAAATTCAAAATGGCCGACTTCCTGTTGGGTTTAGGCTATGGCTCCAAGAGACTTTTTTGTGCGTCTGGACAAGATACACGTACCACAGAAAATTTGTGCACATAGGTGAAACGTGCGGCGGGGGCTGCTTCGTTAAAAGTCACTTCCTGTTGCCAGCAGGTGGCGCTATGACTGTGGGTGAATGTCAGCATGTACATGTGTTCAGGGCGGGACTCTCATCCTACATGTACAGTTTGGTCCAGATGTGAGCATATACACTGAAGTTACAACAACTTCCTGTTTCATTGCGAATCATCGACGCCACGGACACGCCCCTTGACGAAAACTCGCAAATAGCACAACTTTTCATCTTCAATGCCTTTAGAAGGCACAGCAGAAATTTGACGTCGATCCGACTAAATCCCTAGGAGGAGTTCGTTAAAGTACGAAGTGTGTAAATCATCCAAAAATGGCCATAAAATTCAAAATGGCCGACTTCCTGTTGACTTTAGGCTATGGGTTCTTGAGGCTTTTTTGTGCGTCTTGATACGATACATGTCCCCAGAAAATTTCGTACATGTAGGTTGAACGTGAACGAGGGGCTAATCTTTTCCAATTTTCTAGGTGGCGCTAGCGAGTCATTTTGCCACGCCCATGTGCGAAACTTGTAGAATACGAAATTTTTCACCGGTTCTGACATGTTTGCAAATTTTGGTGAGTTTTCGAGTATGTTTAGGCCATGTCATTTGGGCCTACTTTGCAGAAAAAAAATAAAAAAATAAATATATATATATATATATATAATCCGAGCAAATTCAATAGGGACCTCGCACGGTCGTGCTCGGGCCCTAAAAAGTAAAGAGACAGAAACTAGGGATAAGCTGAAACAATTCATTTGTATCGCTGCCAACATCACTATTAGAACCGCTCCTGCAATTTGATGCTCCACAACATCAGGAGAATCCATCTGCCCCTCACCCAGGAGGCATCACAGGTTCTCGTCTTGTCCTCTCTCATCTATATTACTGCAGATCGCTCCTGTCTGGTGTCCCTGCGTGTGCCATCCGACCTCTGTTTCTAAATGCAGCACTTATTAATGTTTTTGCGTGATTCCTGCAATTACTTGGTTGTATCCACCTGGTTGAATGCAATTATTATAAGTCACTATGGATGAAAGCAGCAGTTAAATAAATGTAATGTAATATCTTACCAGTGGATTTGAACAGGTGCAATGTTACTGTAGTGCTTTAAGATAAGAGGCTCCAATCTGTATGCCTGAAACAAACAAATACAAATGCTTGAGCAGAGGGGGGTTCCTGTCAACATTACTTATCAAAAATTAACACACATTACTTCAATGTAATTGCCAGCTTGTCATGATAGTTTTAATCATTTTGTTGTGCAATATAATGGCAACACCACAGACAAAAAACCTTTCAATGGATACTATAAAAGTCTGTTATGTTCATTACAAGCCATAACTCATCCCTAAAGATGTGACAATAGGTTGATCACAAAAGTGGGTGATAATTGCGATTGAAGCAGGATAGTAACACACTCAGTTGTGTGTACTGTAGCTCACCACAGGGTCTGTGGGATGGAATATGTTGAAGAGGCGTTTGCAGATAGAAGTGGGAAGGATGTGGTCCTGCGCACCGTTGTTTCCAGGCCGGATCCCTCTTAATGCCAAGAAAACAGCCAGAGGAGAGCCCATGCAGAAGAAATTTTCTACCTGCAACACAGAGAACAGAGTTAATTCAACAGGAGAGGTGCTGAGTTACAGAGGACTTACAGAGGACTGCCGGACCGCTGTAGTGGGCTAATGTGTCCGACAGTATATGTATTCCATATGCTGCTTTATTATTATTTATTTATAACATAGACACTAAACCTTCTTTTAATAATCATTAATCAAAACTATATATATATATGTGTGTGTCATTGCTTCCAATGAAAAATCTCATTCATTGTTTGATTCAGAGGGTTTGTAGTTTCAATCAGATGGTCTGAATCAGAGGGTTTGTAGTCTGAATCAGAGGGTTTGTAGTCTGAATCAGAGGGTTTGTAGTTTGAATCAGAGGGTTTGTAGTCTGAATCAGAGGGTTTATAGTTTGAATCAGAGGGTTTGTAGTCTGATTCAGAGGGCTTGTAGTCTGAATCAGAGGGTTTGTAGTCTGAATCAGAGGGTTTGTAGTCTGAATCAGAGGGTGTGTAGTTTGAATCAGAGGGTTTGTAGTCTGATTCAGAGGGTTTGTAGTTTGAAATAGAGGGTTTGTAGTCTGAATCAGAGGGTTTGTAGTCTGAATCAGAGGGTTTGTAGTCTGAATCAGAGGGTTTGTAGTTTGAATCAGAGGGTTTGTAGTCTGAATCAGAGGGTTTGTAGTCTGAATCAGAGGGTTTGTAGTCTGAATCAGAGGGTGTGTAGTTTGAATCAGAGGGTTTATAGTCTGAATCAGAGGGTTTATAGTTTGAATCAGAGGGTTTGTAGTCTGGAACAGAGGGTTTGTATTCTGAATCAGAGGCTTTGTAGTTTGAATCAGAGGGTTTGTAGTCTGAATCAGAGGGTTTGTAGTCTGAATCAGAGGGTTTGTAGTCTGAATCAGAGGGTGTGTAGTTTGAATCAGAGGGATTGTAGTTTGAAATAGAGGGTTTGTAGTCTGAATCAGAGGGTTTGTAGTTTGAATCAGAGGGTTTGTAGTCTGAATCAGAGGGTTTGTAGTTTGAATCAGAGGGTTTGTAGTCTGAATCAGAGGGTTTATAGTTTGAATCAGAGGGTTTGTAGTTTGAAACAGAGGGTTTGTAGTCTGAATCAGAGGCTTTGTAGTTTGAATCAGAGGGTTTGTAGTTTGAATCAGAGGGTTTGTAGTTTGAATCAGAGGCTTTTAGTTTGAATCAGAGGGTTTGTAGTTTGAATCAGAGGGTTTGTAGTCTGAATCATAGGGTTTGTAGTCTGAATCAGAGGGTTTGTAGTCTGAATCAGAGGCTTTGTAGTCTGAATCAGAGGGTGTGTAGTTTGAATCAGAGGGTTTGTAGTCTGAATCAGAGGGTTTGTAGTCTGAATCAGAGGCTTTGTAGTCTGAATCAGAGGGTGTGTAGTTTGAATCAGAGGGTTTGTAGTCTGAATCAGAGGGTTTGTAGTCTGAATCAGAGGCTATTTATTTTGAATCAGAGGGTTTGTAGTCTGAATCAGAGGGTTTGTAGTCTGAATCATAGGTTTTGTAGTCTGAATCAGAGGCTTTTTAGTCTGAATCAGAGGCTTTGTAGTTTGAAACAGAGGGTTTGTAGTTTGAATCAGAGGGTTTGTAGTTTGAATCAGAGGAATTGTAGTCTGAATCAGAGGCTTTTTAGTCTGAATCAGAGGCTTTTTAGTCTGAATCAGAGGGTTTGTAGTCTGAATCAGAAGGTGTGTAGTTTGAATCAGAGGCTTTTTAGTCTGAATCAGAGGGTTTGTAGTTTGAAACAGAGGGTTTGTATTCTGAATCAGAGGGTTTGTAGTCTGAATCAGAGGGTTTGTAGTTTGAATCAGAGGGTTTGTAGTCTGAATCAGAGGGTTTTCTAGTTTGAGTCAGGGGGTTTGTAGTTTGATTCAGAGGGTTTGAAGTCTGAATCAGAGGATTTATTTTGAATCAGAGGGTTTCCTAGTTTGAATCAGAGGATTTGTAGTCTGAATCAGAGGGTTTGTAGTTTGAATCAGAGGGTTTGTAGTCTGATTCAGAGGGTTTGTAGGTTGAGTCAAAGGGTTTGTAGTTTGATTAAGAGGGTTTATAGTTAGAGTCAAAGGATTTTTAGTTGTAATCATATCTAGGACACAGATAAAGATATGAAGAGTCCAACACTTATCAACGTTACCTTGAATTTCAAGGGTGGAACTGCAACACAAGACGATGTCTGCAGACCCTGGAACTGATCCTCCAAATCTCTCAACCTGGGATATATGAATATTATACATAGATTAAAATTACTCCAATGTAAGGCAGTTACAGCTTACCACTGATAGGGACATATTTTCCTAAAACCTCATGCAAGGACAAACACAAGGGTAAACTCAATCAGTGTCATTATCCAAAAGTTCAACTCCCTGTAACCAACTGCTTTTGCAATTTTGGTGACCATAGGTAGTGCAATTCTGACAGAACAGATGTAGAGTCAAACTCCTCACCTGTTCCAGGACAACAACCTGGGTAGTACCTGAGGCGTGTGAGTCTCAGCTGCTCCTGAAGGTGGCGCTCCTCATCACTCGGCCAGCGGACCTTTGTCTCTTCCGGGTCTGGCGCCTCTTGATGATGAAAGCGGACGGGGTCCCAGCCTGTCATGATGTCGAAGGTGATGACGCAACCCAGCGAGTGCGACACTATGGACACCTTCCCGTTTTTCTCAAAGTCTGGATTCCGTGAGCAGAAGAGTGAGTACAGACGATTCAGCTCCAGAGTCAAACCCCTGGTAATCTACATACACACAGACACACAACAAGTACACAAGTAACACACATATACACATTTGTGAGGTACTTGCCTCTTTAACTTTAATTGTGTCAATAAGATTCAGGTAGATTTGGTTATGTTTGATGCTTCAGAGTCTTGTTTAATCATCTATTATTTTACAGTCAGGCAGTAGACCATAATTCAGTCCTATACAGCCATGTTGGATTAAAACAGCTTAGCCAGGATTTAGTTATGCCTGAGGGGAGTTGATTTGGAGTCATGGGACTAACGCTCCCAAACTGCCAGCAGGATGTCAAAGTGCAGCAACACAGCTATGAGGAGACAGAAGGAGGCTGAACTTCAGGCTGAATGTGTTTCTTGAAGGGAAGTGGAAAGCAATCGTGCAGTATAGTCTTAGTGTCACCTCATCTCTATACAGAGGGCTGGTGTAGTACATGATGTCCATGGCGCTGCTGTTCAACATGTCTCTGAGACCTCGCACTTTGTCTGGGGTGATGGAATCCACAGTGTCTGGAGGGAGAATATACAAATACATCACATATATTTTCAGGTATTCAAGTTGGAACCATTACCAAATTTCTAAGCCCCGTGCGTTTGGAGTCTGTATGAGTTTCTAACTTTCTGCACATGTCAGTGGACCTCCTGACTGAACTGCAGTGAGCATTTTACAGTCTATAAAAGTGTCACTTATCTGCCAGGGCCTGATATGCAGACCAAATGTCACATCATTTGTTACGCAGTACGTCAACAAAGCATGACGAAGAGAGTACTTCTATTCAATTCAATTGTATTTATATTACAGCAAATCATGACAACAGTTATCTCAGAGTGCTTTTCATAAAAGAGCAGGTCTAGACCGTACTCTGTGATGATATTTACAGAAACCCAACAATTCCCACTGAGAGAAAAGGAACCTTGAGCAGAACCATGGCTCAGGTTAGTTAGCCATCTGCCTCAACCGGTTGGGGGCGAGAGAACTCAAAAGTTGTCAAATAGTGGTCAGATATTTCACAGATTTCAATACCATACATGGTCGAGGGTGTGGTTAAAACAGTGAGTCAGTTTGTGAACACTCTGAGAAAAGCCAATTGAATCTAATTGAAAGATTAACACAGTACTGAAGCAGTCATTCTCAACGTCCACATGAATATTAAAATCCCCTACAATAATAACTTTGTCCGTTTTAAGGACTAAAGTTGACAAAAACTCTGCAAATTCAGATAATAATTCAGAGTACTGACCAGGTGCTCGGTACACTATAACAAAAAGAATTGGTTGCAGTGAGTTCCAACTTGGGTGCGAAAGGCCAGGAACAAGGCTTTCAACTGAGTTATAGTTTAGTTTAGGTTTAGAGCTGATTAGTAGGCTACAGTCGAAGATAGCTGCAACTCCACCTCCTCGGCCTGTGCCTCAAGGAATGTGAGTATTAATATGACTGGGAGGGATGGATTCATTTAGGCAAACATATTCTCCATCACTCAGCCAGGTTTCAGTAAGACAAAATAAATAAATATCATAATCTGATATTAGTTCATTTACTAGTACACCTTTAGAAGAGAGAGAGCTTATGTCCACATTTAATTCTCCTATTCTTTTGCGCGATTGCACTTGTGATTTTAATTTTTATGAGGTTTTTATGCACAGCTCCTCTTCTGTTTACCTTTGATTTAAATAATTTCAATGGTCGGGGGGCAGACACCCTCACTATAGGATTTTGACTAACTGCTGAAATGGAGGAGCAGAGAAGTGTGTTAGACTGCGACTCTGCCTCCTGGTCTCCTTCAGTTTCCATTCCTGGACCATGGCGGAACGCAGCAAATGCTTGAAAAAGAAAAGGTTTGGCTTAGCTTCACTAAGAAAGACAATGACACAGCAAAACGCAACACCTGCAATAAGGACATTTGGTGCAAGGGAGAAAGCGGCTCCAACATGACGAAGCATTTACTTCAACACGACGTGAATCTGAAGGAATGCTGACAATGCCAACATCTCACGCTTAGGTATAAAACACAGGTGAGCTGTCCTTTCACTTTAGTCATGAAGAGGAAGAGGAGCAAGGAGGAGCGCTGATAAGATTTTGTTGAAGAGGTTACATCCATTACGGTTGATTTCAAAATATGTTATTGATATCTGCTTATTCACAGCAATATCCATGGACTTCAGCCTTTTTGGTATTTTCCTGAGTCGTAGCTCAACAGCTGACAGATCACAGATAATTCCTTATTAGAGAGTCATTTATTTTATAAATTAAGGGGAAAAAAAACTTCCTGTTAAAGTTGACAGTTGGCAGATTATAGCTTAGAATATAGGAATCGGAACTGAGATTTGATAAGGACAATCTGAATCTGAATCACTGTACTCATATTATATAACTATTATCATACTATTGTTCTACTAATAGACTCTAGCTAGTTACTTATCTATTTAGTTACAGGGGTATATGTTACATAGGTGATGGACACCATAATATTAATAGCAGCAGAAATAGAAAATCTAGGGGGAAGGAGAAAAGTTAACAGAAAAACAGAAACAAAAATAAAACAATAATAATTAGGTTATGAGTTATTTTTATTATTATTTTTTATTTTTTATTTAACCAGATGGTCTCATTGAGATTTAAAACCTCTTTTTCAAGAGTGACCCGGCCAAAATAGCAAGATATTGACCATGCACAGTTACTAATACGAACACCAAGAACACGCACAACAACAAAGAATAATTAACAAGACCCTTACGATACATAAACAAACGACATTAGACTACTTAAAAGTACAGTTTTAGGATTTAGTTATTTTAAAAGCAGTGACAACACTTTATAACATCTACTTCCAAGTCTTTCATGTGGTGTTTAAATTTACCAAATGAGAGAAGATTTTGCAACTTCAAATCAGTCTGCAATGTGTTCCGGCTGGATGGGGCAGCATAACTAAAAGTCTTCTTACCAAGTTTCTCACCAACATTTTGACTGTTGTTTAAGCGTTTTAAGTTTAAACTGACAAAACTATCCAGATCTGGCACATCACGTCACTACCTCATTTTGTGAAAAGGTGTATGGAAACACCCAGTAGCTCAGTCAATAAGTCGCCTACTCTGGAGATCTGAAGTTCCAGGGTTCAAATCCCCAGATGACAATCACACTGAGTATAAGGTCTCCATTTAATTTGGATCCCGTGATACTTTCTTATTTTTCTCTGCTAAAAAGTGTTAGATCAGCTTAAACTTTAAAACTTTGAAACACAAAATGTTGCAGGTGGGTTGAACATTTCACCCAGTAGTCATATAATACATATAATACATAATACAGCTACATATAATGACACTGTCTGATCTCAAGGTGATGCTGTAAAGTTTGCGTTTCTGCAATTATCACAAAGTCCAAATTCTTTCATTACTTCAATCTCTCAAGTCGTCTGCATCTGTTCTTCTCCTCTGAAAATTTCAAATGTTGTGTTTTTCACGACTTGCTTGGATCCTAATTATTGTCGCTTATGGCTATATTTTATTTATTTATTTTTCTTTCACCTCAGTGGTTTTTAATTTATTTTTCTCTGTTCATATTTTTCTGCCTCATCTTCTCAACCCCCCCCAGTCAACACTCCCTTCTCTCCCTCTCCTTCCTCTTCAGAAGGGAAGGGAAGGAAGAAAGGAGGAAAGAAAAGGAAGGAAAAGAAAAAAATAATTTGTAAAACTTGTGAATTTGCAGTTAATGGCGTGGCGGTGGTGTGGTGGCAAAGTTAAACTCTTTACCATGACACAGGAAGTTGTTGTGACTTCACTGTACATGCTCAGATCTGACCCAAATTTTACATATGTGATAAGAGTCCCACCCTGAACACATCCAATGTTCTGTGGCACATGTATCATTTTCAGATGTACCCATTTCTGCACCAAATACACTGATTAGACACTGATGGATAACAGCGATGATATTTAAATTTTTTGATCAAAATTATTGCTAGGGACAATTCAGAAGTCACTGACGAGTCTTGAATCTGAAATCAATAAGGGGTTTTATCTCTTCTCTTGTGCTCGCTCTAAAAGCTGAGTAATGTGTGGAGCAATGTTGCTGCTTGGGCAGAGGACTCAACCATATCATATTATTTTCAAGGGCTTTAATGCATGATCATTCATATTTTTTTGATACAAAAATCTTTTTGAGATTCAGGGCTTTTTCAAAAAGTCCCATGAATAGTGTAACCAGGCATTTTACCTGCCTGTAATTTGAACACATTTAAGGCAGAGCAGCCAACCAGAATGCCACTTCAGATTTTGTTTTGGATGGCCGTGAGCTGAGGTGTAGCATACCTCCATCCAGAGCCAGTTTTGACCTCCACTCCACAGGAAGGAACTCAACATGCTCCGTGGTGCGATCAGAGAAATGCTTCTCCTCCATCTTTCTGGCAGCGTCTCTCATCCTGCACACCACCAGAGACAAAACAAGTACTTCAGTAATGGCTTTGATTCCTTTTTCAGTTCTCTGTGCTCCCACCGGAAACCTCTCAATATCTCACATGCTGGTATTCCTGATGATGCGTCCCTGGTCCATCTTTTGGCCGATGCCATGCACCACGAAGACGATGTGTGTGGTTTCAGGTGGGGTGTCCTCAGGTGCTGCTTCCTCCACGTATCCCCGATGGAGACGCGTCCCGCTGCTGGAGGCTGAGGATATTAGAGGGAACATGAGTTCAGTCTGTTTTCTGACACTACCAGCTAATGACTACTAAAGTGGTCAATACCATTTTATATAACTTTTCTGAAATCCCCCAAAGCATCCCCATCATCAACATTTTTTTATTTGTCCCATTTTTCCACAATACAGCATCATACAGCAGTTAACTGTAATGTCAAAAGTCACCAGGTAAACAGCACAGTTACCCCGTTAACAAAGTTATGTGCGCTTGCATCGATTGGCCAATACAGTGCTGTATCAACATTATGGCCTCATTGCAAGCCTAAACGCAATTTCATGTGAGTGCAACAGCATCTGTATTTAATACGTTTGAAAGGAAGGTGCAAACTGCCAAGTGTTGCGCAGAGATGGCAGCTGTTATCCTTGCCAGAAGGAGACACGGCTATAATGAAAGAAAATGTAGAGAAATTAACAATATTAGATAATATTATTCTATTTCCAATGTATTGAAATACAATTATTTTATTTTATTTATTCGATGGACTATATGAATTGAATTGTTTTCTTTTGTATTTTCCTTTAGCGTTGGCAATACTGTTGTATTAACATTCATGCCAATACAGCAAATTTCGTTTCGACCTGACTTGTTGCGTGGCGCTGTGGAGAGTCCCCAGCTGCAGTAGTGCATGGATCACGTGTAAAATCCACCAGCCAGAGGGAGCGATCACAGCGCACCAGTCGTAATAGCGACACAAGCCATTTTAGGTATGGGAGAGGGAATGGGGCGTTGGGGGGTACCGGGACAGGAGATCGCAGAGCGACCGGGCACGGTGTGGACAGTCGGTGATTGTTCCCTCTGGCTGGATGAAGCACGATCTTTTGCCATTTCCTCGCGTCTAGGTTAATCCAGCATACTGTATCTGTTTTTGTTCCCAAAGCAGTTTTTTAGGTGTGCTGTCCCAAGTACTTGGTACATACGATTTCCACGTACTCAGGATGCACTGAATGAAATAAACCAAGGTTTTTACACAGTGGCTGCTCTCCATGGCGAAAACCATTAAAAGACACAAAACCCTCCTTTAAATACTGCCACCTATATTGTGTTTGCTCCTGTTGTCATTTATGCAATAATTCTTAGTAAATCACCCATAACAGGTACTACATTTGCACATGCAATATTTTAGAATGCACACACAATTTAGTACTGTTTATTTGGGATGTTAGTAAATCAGGCTCTATGAATTTCCGAAAGGACAAATAAATATCAATCATCTATAAACGTACACAGCTAATCCCGTTACCGAGGTGGGGGGAGGCGCTGCCAAGCAAAAGTACTTAAACGAAGCATCGATGAATCAATGAAATAATCTATAGAAGCTTCGACTACTAAAATCATTGTTAGCTGCAGCCCTACTGCTGAGTTTTCCAAATGTACCTTTTAAATGCTCTAAACACTACAAATGACTTTCTTTGTTATTTAGTTGAACTGAGCCTCCGATGTTATTTTCAGCTCAGAAAGGCATCTGTGGCCAAACAAGCAGCAGCAGTAAACCACTAACTAGTGGAATGGATGTGTGTAGGACACTGTCATGCAGTACACTGACTCATGCTGTAGTTACTGTTTAACAGTTGTAGACATCCCATAGACTGTATATAAGAAAGGGTTAGGGGGTTAGGGTTAGGGTAGGGACATCCTCGAACAGACTAGCATTTTACCTAGCAGTTACTGCTTTAGATGCTAAAAATATACAACAAACTACTAACGTTACCCAGAAGCCCGTTATTTCTTAACACAAATACTGCTCACGGACTGCAGCGACCTCTATTTTTTCAGTGTAAATACATCTAAATGACATCACAGACACATGTCAACACTGTTCACCTGGTCGCTGATTTGCTAAATAACACTTTCCATCAGATCTCTTGTGTTTGTCCTGTGCTATTGTTCCTTTATATATACCTTTAGAGAAGCCCAGTTTCTGAGTAACGGTGCGTGCAATCTTGGAGGTGGTGGCGTCACTGTACAGGTACACCTCATCCACACTGTGCCAGTCCACATGACTTCTGCTCAGCTTCAGGCTGTGGATGGCTTGGAGACAGCCACAAAGTGATTAACAGCAAGTGACACACTTAATGCAGCATAATTAATTTACCATTCCCCAGGGTGTGTGTGTGTGTGTGTGTGCACTTCAAGACCATTTACAAAAGTCATGATACAGACTGTACACACACACACACATCTTAATCCTCTTTGTCTGTCACACATACACAGAAACACATGTCTACATATACCATCCTTGCTGTCCACTGTGGTGGTCACCATCTCCATCTCGTAGGTGTCCCTCATCTGTTGCCCTCGGAAACGGGCGAGGTGCTCCATCTCAATGAGGTCACTCTCATCCTCCTCCAGGGGAAGCCACGTTCCATCAACGAACCACTGACCCCTCATCACAGGAATGCGGTCTTGCTCTGAGGGACAGAACATAAGTGGTAATACAACACTGATATCAAAGACAGAAAGAAGAAGATCACTGGCAGGATATTTTTAACCTGTTTCACCGTCCTTTAATGTCTTCAAAAGCTGTATTAGTAGTTAAATTTATGCAGTAGCAGAAATAATACTGATGCTGCTGAAAGTATCCGACAAGCTATATGCTGTATCACAGCTGCAGATTGGTCAGCTGTTCAGTGTGCGTGTGTGTTAGAAACACAGTTTTTCCATATTTCAAATAAATATGAATAAAAACATCCACCAGTATGTTTAGGCTGCTGCTCACCAGGATTTATATACATGTGACTCATTCATATACCTTTTACAAGACACAATTCATCCATCAATCAATTAGTCAATTGACAACAGTTTGAATAAATAATCGATTCATTATTGAAGTCATTTATAAAGAAAAGCTTCTCCAATGTGAGGACTTTATCTCATTGTAAGTGACATCTGAAGACAGCAGTGGTGTTGAGAATAGCTACTGCTAACTGAGTGCTGGTGTTGGTGTCACAGGTGGTGCAGGCTGGTAGTGCTGATGGTACTGATAACAGTGATGCCATGGTAGATTAAGACCTGTATCAGGATGGACATAAATCATTGACATGCTCACGGTTCCAGTAAACAGGGTAGCACTCCTTCTCCCTTATATCCACTTCGTACAGCCCCCCTCTGACACACACTGCCTCCACGCTGTTGCTCATGTCGTCCGGGTCCTTCATCTCCTCTGACACCGAGCGCCGTTGCCCCCCGCCCCGCTGCACCGCCGACTCCGCCCGGACACTTCCACTGTCCAGCGCCCCACTGTCGCCGGACCTGGATGCCTCCTTCCCCTCGGCCTCGCCGGGTTCGACAGGGCGTTTGACCTTGTCGGGGTTTTGCTCACAGAATCTCCGATAGACGATCTCGATTTTTAAAGAGTCGTGTCCGACGAATGGCTTCCACGTCCGCTTGTCCTCTTTGTAAAACCACCGGACCTCCTCCGGCCCCAGCTCCGCGACGACCTCTCCGCGGTGCCTAGAGCTGTTGGACCGTATGCGCTTCTTGGCAGTCACATTCCCGTCACTTTCGGTGTAGTTCGGGTCGATGGAAAGATACGATGAGCCCGTATATTCCTCTCCAGCCAGGCCCAGCATCATGCCATCCTGAGATAACCGACGCGAGTCCCGCCTTAACAGAGGCAGGTGTCTGTCCAAACCGGGCTGCGCCGGGTTCCCGTCCCCGGCAGCGGCCACGTCTCCCACCGGAGTGTCGTCGTAGCCGGACACAAACACATCGTTTGCCATGTCCCATTCACTACTGCTGACAGAGTTATTCTCCGAGCTCTGCTGGCGGATCGTCGGTGTGTCCTTCATACTGCTCATGGTTCACGTTATTCATTTAACTATATATATATATATATATATATATATATATATATATATATATATACACACACCCACATATGTACACTCAATACATGTAAAGGGTGTAATAAAATCCACGATGATACCGCTAGACAATTAACGTTATCCCAGATTAACGGCGTCTTTCTCCCCAGCTGGTCACATCTGTGTGCCGAATTGTTCAGAGCCGTTACATTATAGCTCCAGATTTAAAAACATTGACTGCGACCTCCGGATATCCTGCCGGTACACTCCCTCGGTCATGTTCCCGTTTTTTCGTGAAAAAGTAAAAAATCAATGAACGGTTTTAGCTAAAATGGTCATCTCAGCCGCTCCATAGTGGCAATGGGACGACGACAACATTTAACTTCCTGTTCAAACATTCAAAATAAATTGGAGGATTTTAAAACTGCAATATATTAGCAGAAAGTAAAGTATGTAAGAGAGATATATATTGAAGGATAAAAACAACTGTTCAAGTAGTTTGTATTGTTGTTTACTGTGTATTTTTAATAAATAGCTTGCAGCCATTTTTACTATTTAATTATACACTTTTAATTTGAAGGCAGGTTCACCATATAAATAACATGCATGTGTTCTAGCTTTCTTGGGCTTGATGGATGTAAGGTATTGGCCTAAATACAAGGAAAAGTAACATATTTAAAATAAACATGTTCATTTAAAGTGGTTATCGATATGAGGTTACAATAAAAATGTTAAAAACTTAAATTACGCCAGCATTTGCTGTTACCTTTGTATACCTTTCAGGCCACCGTAGTTGTTCCTGAGGAGTTATGGCCGTCATGGAAAGTGTTTACCAGAGGATCTTTTCATAACTTGGCTTAACCTATGACATAAATGATAGCAAATGGCAGCGGTTTTCCTGGTGACCCTGTATGAGTACTCCCCACTGTTTTATATCAGCGTGGTGTCTTTGTGTTTTGTTGTTACCGCCGCCATTGTGCTCGGCTGGTGAGTTAGTAGCAGCTGCTACATTACTATTTCCTCATATTACCGACATGTAACCCTGAACCCTCTTCTTTAATAACTCGCACGTTTACTGCAGCATAATACGTAATATAGCACCGAATCCTCTGACGCAAATTCATAACATCGCTGATGTCGAAACATATTTGGGCCAATGTAAGAAAGTAAGCTGTTGTTAGACACGCACACACCGTATCAAACCGTAGAAAAGCAACGTCGCTGAAGTTAGCTTCCGATTCGGCACTTAAGTATAAATTAATTTAGGATGCTGAGCGACCGTTTCTATGTTTTTTGCACCTCTTACTGTTGTGAAAGCTGTTACGCGTTTTAGGCAAAGCCTTAATGCTGTCTGAAATTTGTGAAAATGAAAAAAGGGCGATTTCACTCCTTTTTTCACATGTAGACCACATTAGACCAGGTCCAGATCCAAAACCACTATGAGTAGAGCTCTCAAATTTGGACTAGATTGTCCCACAGAGGCTAAAGTTTCAATCAAATATAGTTTCAGATTTGTGAAACCTTTATTTCAATTTGTGAAAATGCTTTAAAGGGCGATTTATCTGCTTTTTTGTAGACCACATTAGATCCACTATAAATAAAATCTATAAAAAAACACTATACCTAGAGGTCTCAAATCTGGACAAGATTGTCCCACAGAGGCTAAAATTTCTTTAAAACATGAAAATAAAAAAAGGGTGATAATTCAATTTTTTTTTCACACCAAGGGACCTGGTCTTGCAGCCTTTCTACAGCTCTTCCTCTGATTGGTTAGTACTCCTTTCCTTTGCCAATCAGTCAGAGTAGGGGGCAGGATATGAGGCATATTTTGAGTCTCTGAGTCTGTCAAAGTCCAAAGCCTTCATTATGCAAATAAATAAGAACATATTATACATATAGTATAGTATAACACTTACATGTATAAATGCATTGATTACTGTAATGGAATGTAACTGAGTACATTTTGTACTTTTGTTGTGGAGTATATTCACAGTGTGGTAGTACTTTTACTTAAGTAAAGGATCTGGATAATTATTTCACCTCTGATTATGTTTATAATGTGTTTATATATTGTATATATTATGTATTTAGTATATACTAACTATAGACATCAACTACAGGCATCAACAGAGAGATTGCAGAACCTCCACTGTCCGATACATCCAAATAAAACCCAATATTAAGACATTAAGGCATCGATTCTGCTCATTTTTTAGGTCTAGGTACACAGTTTGTCTTGATCTGGTTTCACTCTGTAACAAACTACAAAAAATACGTAGTACTACAAATACAGCTAATTTATGATGTTTATTTACTGTAACTTTAAGGTTAGCATAAGCCACAACCTTATGCCAATAATGCCTCAACCATGGAGTGTTTTTGCGGTTGTGTCCATTCTGCTGACATTGCCTGAATGCATCACAAATAGCAGGACATGTGATTGGATGTTCAGCGCGGGCAACCAGGTCTACTTCATGGGACATTACAAAGTTTTTGCAGTAGCCCTTTATAGTATTTTCACAAAAGGAATAAAAGTTTAATAATCTGAAACTGTGTTATAGAGAAACGTTAGTCTCTCTGGGACAATCTATTCCAGATTTGAGAACTCTAGGCATAGTGGTTTTGGATCTGGACCTGGTCTAATGTCTACATGCTAAAAAAAAAAGGAAAATAGCACTTTATTGCATTTTCACAAATTGAAAAAAGGTTTCACATATCTGAAACTATGTTTAAAAGAAACTTTTTTTGAAGTTTTTTCAAATCTAAAAAAGTGTTTCAGACAGCGTTAAGGCTTTGTCTAAAATGCATAACAGCTTTCACAGCAGTAAGAGGTGCAAAAAACGGAGAATCGGTCGCTCGGCAACGTAAGTTAACTTATACTTAAGTCCCCTTACGTTTTCCCTTAACTGCCCAATCGGAAGCTGCGAATCGGAAGCTAACTTCAGCGTCATAAAAAAGCACAAGTCAAAAAAAGACCTGGGCTAGATTAACTGTACATTTGCAACAATGCCTTAATGTTATACGTTCTAGGTGGGGTTTGTCCTGAAGGTGGCGCTAGAAAAAGGTTTTGTTAGATTGTGAGAGATCGTGAAAAGGAGAAACCTCAGGGAGAGGTTAAAGTGGAAGGGTTCATGAATATATTCACACGTTGTCATGGCAGTCTGCACAATTAGTCTGAACACGGCTGGTGTAGTCAAGTGAATTTTACAACAATGTAACCAACAGCTGTCGAGACTTTCTCTGGACCAGAGTATTGGACAGAGTCAACAGAGAGGCAGAGTTTTGTAATCAGTGAAGTCAGTTGGTCTGATTTACGAAAGATGTTTCCTGTGTGTACACCTCTACGCTTTCTAAATCTTTAGAAGAATAAGTGGGATGAGCGCAGAACATAATTCTTTTGTGCACTCGGCCTCCCGTCCTGCAGGTTTGGCTTTGATGTCCCAGTGATCCTTCGCAGCTCTGATGAGACAGCGTCTATCCTACCAACCCCTGATAAGCAAATGGTTCAGGTGACCAATCCTTTTGCCCTGGAGATGGGCTCTGGGCTGGCATCTGTCACTGGTGAGAACAGTCGTAAAGCACAGGGTGGAGGGAGCCGGAGTCTCCGTCCGCTACTGCCAGTGAGGCATGCACTCGTGGGGAGAGAGTGGCGTAAAGCAATGTTTTACGTTTTGTAAGATAACTGAATACTGCTCTTATATATGCATGTGTAACAGTAGTTCAAAAGTCTGAATTTAGTTGCTTTATTTTTTATTTCAGCTCTGATGTTAAGAAACGTATGTTTTGTAAAAACTATACTCCTTGTTGCTGTTATGAATATGATATTAGTTTAAAAAGTCAGAAGAGACTGCTTTGTTTGGGGGAGGGTAGTGAAAGTAATTTAGTAACATAACATAATTAGTTACTTTTATCACCCAGTACTAAGTAAAGGAATATACCACACTATATATATATATATATCACTTATATATCACTTATATATCATTTCTTTTCTGTTCTGCAGTTGGAAGCATTGTTTCTCCAACTATAAATGTGCAGGGCTATAAACTCCTGCCTCCACATGTCCTGTATATATATATATATCCAGCCTGTATATATCCAGTATTAGCCACATAGGCCATGATAACATTAGAGAACACTCCCTTGCAGACGGGGTGTCATTGAGGCCTTGCTGTCTGGAGCCCTGCGTGCTGAGCTGTTTCTGGGGCTGTGAGGTCAGTGCCCTGCAGGGAGGGCTGCAGGCCCACCAGCATGGCCAGAGGCTCAACACCCCCCAACATTTCCAGGATGCCCTGCACCTTCGCTACCACCACTGCCAGAGCTTCCAATATCCTTTAGAGTGCTAATAAATACTTTCACTGCAATAATATTCAGGTTAACATCACCTTTTCTGACTTACCATCCCAACCTCACCCCTTGCTCTTCATAGATTTAATCTTGTCTTTTTGTAAAGTGTCTAAGCATTTAATAAAGGGGATCTTTATTGTTATTTAACAAAGCATGGCACCAGGAGAGTGCTTGATGCCAGAGCACACAAGATATTTCCTGTTAACATAAACTGATACTAGAGCCCAACCGATATGGGTTTTTGGAAGCCAATGCCAATATTAAAATGAAAAAGAGCTTATTTATGAGCTGATGTTTTGATTTTGAAAATTATTTGGATAGCAGATCCCTTTCCTGTATAAACTACATTTAGAACAGGCCGACATTGAAAGCTGTTCTATATGTGGGCTATAATACCTTTACTTAATGGATTATGTTAAGAAAATGGATTACAGTCTCAATAACTGAACAATCGCACATCAATAAATATTTGCTACAGGAAGGTGCAACTTTTTCAGCCATCTGTAAACAGAGAGCGTGAGAGAGAATAAGCATGTGTAGTTTACCTTACACGTAATCTGCCCTAATAACTACTTTCAATGTAGCATATCCACATGTGCTTTATCCCTGTACCAGCACTCTTTAATTCTAACCAAAGCTACGAGTAACCATTTCTCAGCCACCATCTCGCTCTGTGAGCGAGTCATATATGATACAGTGAACTGCTGTACTGTCAAGTACTACATGACTGTCTACAACGAGCACTTGCAACTTTGAGATTTCATTTAACTATACATACAAAAGAAATGGAATGCCATAATACATTACACATTTAACAAGTTTCTACTTGCTTTTAAAGAAATATCTAATAGTAATAATATCTGTTTTTTTTACATATCTAACTATATGATAATTAATGAGGAACTTTTTTTCTGTTTCATTTTTATTTCACTTTTTTTTATTTTCTCAGTCACTGTATACAGTACTCTCCATTCACAAGTTGAAAATAGTATAGATTACTATATAGCTTCCCACTAGTATGC